TCTTTTGACCGCGCTAACCGGTCTTAAGTCGCATCAATTTGGTCCTGCTGACCATCCCCATATAGTATGCCCGAGCCTCTTACAAGGTTAGAATGACAACGTCCGCCGATTTCGCCGAGGGCCGGCCAATCACAGAGCGACTAGTCATAATGCCCATTACGCACCCGTCCGACGGCTTCGGCTTCGGCAGCGGTGTCCATGGTACTGCCCCTCCTCCGGGGTCCCATGGCGCAAGGTATAAGTACTTCCTGGAATGCGCTGATGAGTGTCACCACGAAAGCCTCTGGAACTCCTCACAGAGTTCGGACCTTCGCCTTCCAGTCTCACCTCAGCAACGTCACCTCGCCTCGCTTCGCTCGGCTCGGCTCCCCCCAACCCCTAGACACTAGCAGTCGCCGTAGCACCAGTCGCTTATGTAATGCCTGGTCCGTGCGCACCCTGACTAGTATATAAAGACCCCCTTCGATGCTACCTAGCCCCATCTCAACCTCTTGGTTTATTGGGCTAGGTAAGCCTTTATTTGTATCGTAGTACAGTTGCTAATACAACTTGGTTTATTGGGCTAGCTGAATAAGCTAACGCATAGTCGCCAGACCTCGTCGGCGCCGCCTTCTGATTAGATCCACCGAGTATCCCTCGTGGTGTGTTGACGCAAGTCCACATCACTGTAGAAGTAAGTATTCATACCGTGCTTATCTTCCAAGACCCAAACTCAAGCTTTGACAGGACCCTCTTGTTGAATCTGCGCCTCTATCAGATCCTGTTCAACATTAACAGGGTGATGATCATTGTGATGAGCCTGTGTCTGAGAAGACTGCCATTCACTCAGCACAGGGGACTGCTGTTGAAAGAGTTACAGAGGCTGTCGCAGAGATGGAGCTGACAGATGGAGCTGCTGACACATTTGAAGAGGACTTTTTTGACTCAAACAGCACTCATAGTAGTATGCCTCGCCTTGCAACGCTATTGGAGCAGTCAGACTCCGACTTCTGATCTATGTAGCATTTGAAATATTATGTATTCAATGATGATGTTGACTATGTAACCTTACTGTGTGCTCCTTTCAAGTAAGACAACAATAACCTGTGAGTGATCCATATACTCACAGGTACATGACCTGCAGGTTCAGATGATCTGTGGGAACAGATCTGTGTGGCTCTGGGTGAGAGTCTTCAAATGCTGGGTATCTGCCACCATGGCTCCGGATCGAGCTGTGAGTGGACTCGTGCTAGGCTTTGCACTCAAAGACCTTGTCTGCAAGCAAGAGATGCAGTCCAGAGGTAACAGCAGCTGTAAGAGTGCATGGTAGACCAAGCATTTGAGTCACTAGCTGCTGCACATTGCCAAACTCCTTGAAAATTCTGCGCCAGCCATAGAGACTCGTTTGAAAAACAGAGAAAATTGCGCAGATGTCATCAGAGTGCCAGCCTTTCTCTCAAAGTTGTAGGGCACACTTCTTGAGGTCAGAGCTAATCCTGCAGCACACCATAGCAAGGTCAAGGAATGGAGACAAGTGTTTGCCAATTGCCAGTGAGCAGCCCAGCTCAACGGTCAAATGGCACTAACTATAGACACTACTATACAGAGAAGTTCCATTTTGAGAACCAGGTGAAATTTTGCACAAGACTTCTCAATTATTTCTGAAATGACTGTAACAGGCTAGATTAATGACATGTTGCTTTTAAGAACCCAGGTCTCTGGATATGCCACTGGCTTTCCCAAATCCCAGTATCAGGCTGTCGGCCACTAGTCAAAGGCTGCCAGACTGTGATGGGACCTCTGCTTTTCCAGGAAGATCAAAGGCCTTCTGGTCCTGGAGTTTGTCATTGGGAAGTTCCACTGTCGCTCTGCACCCATGGCAGCTCCACCTCCACTAGCCCTAGCATCTGCACATGTGCCTGGATATATGAACACACCATTCTCATCTTTGGCATCTGGACTTACAACCACGATATTCTTTGGTCCTCAGTACATGGCGCTGTCCCCACCATACTTTTTGGTTGCCACTTCTGTCATCTCCTTTCATGTGTACATCTTAGCTCTCTTCCTCTCCACTAACACTTGCACTGCCACCACTACTTTGGCCACTGCCTGCCTTGCCACTCACACTCGGGCAGGCAGTGTGAACTTTGGCACAGGTACTGCCTGTCCTCAGAGCAACAATGATGTGGCTGTACCTGCTTGGGCCTGTAATGCTGCCAGCTCTTTAAGCAGCCATCACTGTGGCAGCACAGCACCACTATCTTTGCACCACCATGCCACTACCTCTTTCTACATTGTGACTGCAGGCAGTGTGCCAGGCATCTATACAGACCTGTGAATATAAGCTTAATATGTAACATCAATCTTGCTAAAAGGTGAGATTATAGCTTCAAATTCAAATGACTTTGCAGAACATTTAAGCATACAGTGGGTGCCTCGTACAAGATATTAGAGATGCCAAGGTGTGGATAGCAAGCGACACAGCTCTCAAAACATACAAGAGATATTGCACAAATGACCTGGACCATCATGGTGAAAGGGCAAGCTTTGTCCAAAAATGCATCAAGTGCAAGACTTTTCAAGCCAAGCCTGTCAAAAAAAGAAATACCTATGCAAGGCTGTCTGCCATTCAGGAAGGTCTGTCATTATTTTGCACTCTAATGTGGCAACATGCTTACAGGTACTTTGCAAGCAGTGGTGCTTTATTACTAGAAAAGTTAATGATTT